ACATAAGATCATCCAAAATTCTCTTTTCATCCACTTTAAAATGGGGAGTTTTGTGTTAAGTCGAAATTTAAACTTCACGTTTACGACCAAGACATTGAAATGCTTTTTAATTTTGAAAATAAGTAATAACAAATAAAATTGCCTATCAAATATTGGGGAAAAGGTTTGTTGCTTTTTAAAATCGTGTTCCAATTTTTGTTTTATTCCATTTCACACTTGTCATTGGATGAAACGTGAAACTGGAAATCTCATTTGTAATTCTCATTATTTCATCAATCTTTGTTTTATTCATTAATTAACAAGACAATCACACAACAATATATATTCACAACCAATCACATTGTGTATTGGCCACAAAGGAAATCGTCCCGTTAGCTATGTCATAAGCCACCAACATATTTTGCTGCTGAAAATTGCCCAACACGGTGGGCTCACCATCCTCGGCGGCCCCCATGGCCAAGCACCCAATCCCGCCGTCCACGACGAAGTAGCTCTCCTTCGACAGCTCCACTTTGGCCCCGGCGAATTTCAGCACCATCTTCGGGACATTTATCTTTTTTTTACCATGGACGTTGAAGCAGAGCTCGAGAGTCGAGTCGATTTTGCTCGCGTTGGCCGAACGAAGCTTGATCTGCCGCGCAAACTTCCGCTTGACGTCCTTGAACGCACCCCTCTCGAGGAGCGTCAGCGTGGTCCCAGTGCTGATGATTGCGAACCCAAACTTGTCGACGCGCGTCGGTGCTGCCCGCCCCACGGCGACCCCCACGAGCGGGACCCAATAGAACGGGCCAGCCGACTCATTCACGAAGAGTCGGGTCGTGGGGGCACCAGGAGGTGCCTGGGCGGCCCCGGTCCCCAACTCGAGCACGCCCTCCCCTGCGGAGCCTGCCGGCGGCATGCAGTAGGAGAATTTGGTCACGGTGAGTTGCGAGATAAGAGAACGGTTCGTTGGTCCTAGGCCTAGGACCCCCGAGCCGTTGAAGAGGTCCCGACTGATGTTGAACCCGCAGCCAAACAAGAGCTTATGAATCGGGGATGATCCCGCCTCGAATTGAAAGGTCTCGGTGGCAAGCTCCCCGTTGGACCAGCTGTTGTCAGAGTACGTCAAATTGTACGTGCACTTGTTGTGCGGCCGTCTCTTGATTGGGCATTTCGATGGACGGTAGGAATTGGATTTTCTCTTGTTGAAGAGGTTAGATGAATTTCGAGGGCACCGTTTCTTACACGACATGCATTGGATCCACGTGAGGTCTGTGCCGGTGGATATAATGGCCGAGACGCGTTGAGGTGGAGTCCCGATGGATAGATTTGTTAAATAGTCACCGTATAGGTATTCGGGGCTTGTGTAGATGGAAATGTTGATTTTGTCAGGACTTTTCGAGGTTGCTGCTTTAAGCCATTCCAGCCTCTTGTGGTCGCGTTCTAGCCCATGCCGTAAGAGCACCATTTTGCTGAGGTTCTTACCGCGATCCACATGCGTTAGCGTGATCCGAAACTCTACCGTTGGCGAAACTAATACAACTAAAGTGTAGGCAAAAAGTAGGGTTAAATATGTGATTGTGGAGAATGGAAAGTTTGTGAATGACATTATTTTTCTTTTATGTGTGATGTTATTGTTGAGAAAGACTAGTTTGGGTTTGTGTGTGGAGAAAAATTCACCATGTACTGACAACATATATAGGCAAATGTAGGGTTACAACTAGTCATGGCCACAGTTAGAAACTAGCGCGACGAACCGGACTGTGGTTAATGGTTTTAGAACCGGTCTGGATCATTAACCATGGTTCGTGAACCGACCCGGCGTTTGGTCAGGGCTGATTTCAGTTCATTTATTTTATAATCAAAAAATTAATTGTCTGTTCTAGTTCCAAACTGGAACTGGCTCGGTGGTTTTGTCGGCGATTTTTTCAAAATTTTGAATTTTTTTCCCGCTAAGTCAGGCTGGGTTGGGCCCGAAACTGGAACCGGCGGGCCAAGGTCGTCCAACGATCATATTTTTAACATCGACAGGTTGATCATGCGATCATTGGAGATCCAACAGTATTGACTGAACCGAATCATTTGAATCGCCAGTTTGGCCTTGAACCGGCAGTTCACTAAGAAAAAAATCATCTTTTCTATGAATATCCCCTTTTACTTCTTCATTTTACTCCAAATTATTATCATCTTTTCTTCTATAATATCCTCAATACTCTCATTCTCTAGCTCTTCTATCTTTTTTTTTTACGTTTTATTAGTAACTAAATTCTTTTTAAATTATAAAAATGTCGAGTCCTCGTGGTGGACGACTAGCAAAGCGAAAAGGTGTAACATCTACGCGTGGTCATCCATTGTTGACGCCAACGGTACATATTGATGTCCTGGGCGTGTGCCGATGAACTATCTACCGAGGAGGTCAAATACATGTTTCAAACTATAAAAGATATCCCCGAGGGCTTTCAGTCCTCCGATGACGCTACTCTGCCTACTGAAGGTCAACCGACAGCAGGGGCTTTGGGTTGACGGTTGATATTCGATAAAATTCACAAGACACTTCAAGAAGGTGTCGATCCGAGTAAGGGGAAAAAGCATTTTATATGTATTTACAATCACTGCCCACCGACATCTTGAAGAGGTATGCTTTCAAAGTTGTTAATGAGTACGAAACCGTACAACAACACATACAGACCTATTATCTGGCCAAAATGGGCATTGACTCGAGCCAAACTTAATTCTCGAGAAGTGGAACTATCATCGATGTTCAATGTATAGCTGTGATGTGGGGATAAAAAGAGTTATTTGTTAGTAATCTTGAACATCATTGCTACCTTCTAAAGGATATGTTGCGGAAATAGTTAAAATATTCCCAATACATTTTTAATTGTGAATTTGTTAGATTCGTCTACACGTGGAAATGGATTGCCCAATATATTTTTAATTGTGAGTTAGATCCTGAACTCACGGATGCTCATCAGGCAAACCAAATCTTTGTTGTATGACTTTTTTAGGGAAACAACAACCGAACTCTAGGAAAATTTGATGTTATTTTCTTCTTCTTTTAAGCAAAATGCGAAGTTCGGCACAAACTTTCAAGATTGGGCTTTCAATCCCTATAAAAATGCTAGGATTGAATGAAATAAGAAGACTAGATATGATGAACTTGATTACTTCTTGACCTCGAATCTCAAACTTACGGTGGCCATATACCTACAGCGACATTCCTATTCGTTGTCATGGATTTGTGGTAAAAAAAAATGAAGACCACATATCATGATTGATTGCTAAGTAGACTTTTGATGTCCATGTCTCAACTGTGACGTTTGAACAAGCATTTAGCGAGTGAGGGGATACTCTGAAAACACAACGATCAAAGTTAATGCCACAAGACTTAGAGGCTCAAATGTTGTTTTGCGGTTAAAAGAAAGTCGAAAGAAGGAAGGGCACAAAAGATAGTTGAAGAGGATGATGAAAAGCCGGATAATTTTAGTACTAATACCACTACTGGAACACGGGACTGAATACGACGATGACAACAAGTACTAGAACGTTGAACGCATCGTGTCATCTTCTTTCATCAAGGTAAATAAGGTAAGCAAACAACGAAAACTTTGATTCCCAAATTAAGTGATACATATATTATTTAATTAATACTCCTTTCTATTTTAAATATTTGTCATCCTGGCTATCAACACACTAATTAAGAAATATTTTTCTTTCCAAGTTTAACCCTATTTAATGACACAATTGTGGATGGATGTTCTTGGGAATATGAATAGACAATGGGTATTGATGGAGGGGTTAAAAGGGAAAAATATGAACAAAATAGTCAAAACGACATTATTTAACAAATGATCAATTAAGCTAGAATGACAAATATTAAAAATAGGAGGGAGTATATTATAAGTTAATTGGTAGTTTAACTTAATTTAGCTTATAAAAGGAAAACAGAAATCTATTACTATATAATACGGAGAAGAAAAATTATTTGAACAATTCGAAAAAAATCATTTCGTTTTCCCGCTTCAATATAGTGTTTTTTTCCGCTTATTCAATTCGTAAATTTTTTTTTTTGAAATTTTTCAGCCCATGCAATTAGGTAACCAATCAAATCGAATCTTTTAGCATTCAATTTGGTAAGGTGTTCTGATTTTAGCATTCAAATCCGATTTCACTTCCTTTTTTTATGCCTATCAATTCGATTTTTTTGGTTGTTTCAAAATTTGTTTAGATTTATATTTTTATTTTATTAATATATTTGGAAGAGAATCAATAAATGTTTATCATAACTTTTATTTTAAAAATAAATTTGAATAAGCATACCTTTTACTTTATATGAAATTCAAAATTACATATTTTAATATATTAATAAACGTTTATTATTTATTTTTTTCTTATGTGATATAATTGAATTTCGGTATTAAATTTGTAAATTCAAACATTTAAAGGAAAAGATTCCAAACAATTTTTTTGGGTAAATTTCATTTTATCTTGGTTTTCATTATCACATTTCTAACAAACTAATTAGTATTATATTTTTTTATCTACATTATCTAACCGATTTTTTATGATACAATTAATATAATATCTTAACAAATTAATCATTTGTCTAACCGAATTTATCTCTCTAACAAACTTGCCATTTCTTTTAAAATTAAAATGGTATGATTATTTTATGGAGATACTTATCAATATATTAAATATTGAGAAACTTTTTTTAAAAAATGAGTTATCCCTCCTTTTACTTTATTTGAAATTCTGACTTATATTTTTAAATATATTATTATTTATTTTTTTACATTTAAATATTTATTATTTATTATCTAAGTGATAAATATTATTGATTTATCTCTTTAATAAATATTTATTATTTATTTTATTCCTTACGTGATATAATGTAAATTTGGTTACTAGATTTTTAAATTCAAACATTTAAAGGAAAAAACCACGAACAAATTTTTTGGTTACATTTCATTTTATTTTAACTTCCATATAATCACAATCCTAACAAACTAATTAGTATAATATTTTTTTACCCATTTTTATATAATCGGATTCTTAAAATATAATTAATATAACATTTTAACTATTTAATCATTTGTATAACTTGATTTAACTCATTATCAAACTTGCCAAATTTTTTTTGAAATTAAAAAAAATTTGGAAGATTTTTATTTGTAAAATAATAAAAAATAGCTTTACTTTAAAGTCTGGATTATTTCCATTATTTTTTGTACGTTAACAATCATATATTTTGGATTATTGATTTAAAAAAACAAATCAAAACCGTAAGGTTTAATAATATTTTTCTTAAATAAAGAATATTGTATAAACAAAAGTATTCAATAATATATATTTTTCATTGATTGTATTTATTTTATTTTCATAATAGACGGGATGTGAAAAATATAAATAATTATATTTAAAATAAAGTTTAAAAAATATTTAAAATATGAACTCTTTCGTGCATCGCACGGGATATACACTAGTAAACAACTAAAATAGTTGTCACATTAATTTAAGTATTTGAAAGATTAAGCTCAATTAAACAAATCCAGGGACATAATTAGAAAGCATACCTGATATAAAATCATAATTACACTATGTCACACGTCATTGCATAATTGAAATTAGAACTTAGAGCAGATCATAATGACATCTATCATTATATTAAAAGATTAACCATTTAACATTTTTAGCAAGTTTTTCCCGCCAAATACATTTAATGTCTCCTAAAAATAGAGCAACATTAAATGTTGCCCTTAAATCATGGCAGTTGTTAATTTAGTTTAGAGAAAATCGTGACAACTAAAACAAACAATATTAATTACAGCTGATTTAATATTTAAATGGTAAACAAATATTACTTTTTTATAACTGATTTAAATTTACGTCTGTTTAAAAGTAAAAAACTATTTTTGCAATTTCAACAAATTTGTACTCTTTAATGTACGGCTGATTTAAAATTAAGAATTTACTTTTGTATTTTCACAAAAAATCGTATAAAGAAGTATGGCTGGAATAATAATAAAAAACTAATTTGTTAAACCATATTTTGCACTCATAGATATGAATTCTCATCAAATTCAAGATTTAAAATTGTGAAGAATGTATATATATGTGGACTGATTGAAGATATATGATTCCTTAAATTAAGGAATTTTTTCTGGTAAAAAAAAATATAAACTTTAAATATAGATTTGATTAGTAGTATATACCAAAGAATATTGTTACATTTAAAATTCCTATGAAGAAGAATTCTATTAATTTTTAAATTCAACATCTCATAAAAATAATATAATACACATTTACATTCTATGAAATAATATTTAAAACTCACCGTTCAACATGCATAAAATGTAAAATTACCTAACATGAATCATTTTAACTTTCTAAAATCAGTACACAATTTGCTCGGTATGTACTAATAGTCTAATAATTAAGAGTTAATATTTGGTATGACATCTATTGGTTGGAAAGAATTCCATTTTGTATGGAATTCGAAATGAAAAAACATATTCTGAAAATCAAATCTGGTTTAGAGATCGATTTCTTAATTGCCTTAAATTATGCAAATATATTGTTTCAGTTTTTAGGATTCTTTTTTATGAT